CCCCGCCCGGCCCCTCCCTGGCGCGCTCAGCGCGCCACGGGTGACGCCGGAGGCGCCGTCAGGGGAGTCCAGCGCCGTGGCAAGAACCACGCGAGGACCTCCGAAGAAGTATGTGCCCGTGCCGCCTTTCCCCTCTCCCGGGGCTGAGGAAGAAGGTGAGCGCCTCCTTAGAGGAACAAAGAACCGCATCAACAGAACTTCTCGGAACTCCGCGCGGATAGGCGCCGCCAGGGGGGCCCAGCGCCGTTCAAGACATCCGCGAGGAACTCCGAGAAGAAACATGCTTATGCCAATTTGTTTGTTCTTCGACGCCTTCCGCATGCTCTCCGCGTCCCCGTCCCACATCGGCGCCGCGAGATCCGCCTTCGGGGGAACCAGAAGGTACCGATACCGCAACTCCCCAGACCTCTCCTGGGATGTGTTCTGACCAGAATATCGAGGCGAATCCAGCGGTGGTGACGAGGGCCTCTCAGGAGGCTCGAAAGAAGAAACGAAGGAATGGTAGCGGTAGCGGCACCTGTTCCTCCTCCGAGCCTTGCTCCACACCAGGCCGTGCTGCATCAGCGCGGGCAGCGGCAGCAGCGGCCCTCGCCGGAGCGCCCGCAGCAGCGAGGCGTCCCGGAAGTTGAGCCAGCGCTCGTGTTAGGTCGGGCATGTCCCCCTACAGGCGGATTTTGGACGAAACATAAAAAATGTTCAAACAATGCACCAACATATTCAAAAATGATAAAAAAAAAAAAATCGTCCCCAGACAAATTTTTGACTATTTTGGAATATTCCTCCTGTAGAGGGACAGGCCCGACTTAACGCTCGTGGGGCGGGCCCTCTCCCTCCTGCCCTACGTCGATGCCGTCCCGCCAGATCGAGTCCGCCCAGAGCAGCCAGAACGGCGAGGGCCACGTCCCGATGGTCAGGTTGATCCAGAGGCGCCGCTTCTTCTTCTCGAGACCGTCTTTTTATCTGCGTGCCCCCGGTCGCAAGGTCGTTTCCCCCGGGGGGGAAGGGGTGGGGGGGTGAGGTTGTGGATGCCATGACAGCGGATACTCTATCAATCCGATCATTGGATTAAACATGTGTTAAATGTGTAAAACATGTTCCAAACATGTTCGTACATTTTTAAAACATGCTTGAAACATGTGTTAGACATCTGGAAATTATTTGGCAGCTTCCTCTCCATTAATCGACTTCCACAACGTAAGGGTAACTGACGCCTTGGCGGGGCGGGGCAGGTCGGGGCGGGGGTGCGGCTGCGGTCGGCGTGGCACGCGCGCGAGCATCAGCCTGTGGGCGGGGGGAGAAACGCGGCATAAACATAGGAAGAGGAAGAGGAGGAGGAGGAGGAGGAGGAGGAGGACCAGTGTAAACCAAGCGTCATCAACGATGTTGGACTGAACCCTCCCTCCAAACTCCCTCTTCATAGGCCCCTACAACGGTTCATTTCCACTGAGAGAACTGCCTCGTTGGAGGACAACCGTCTGAAGACCCTGACACATGCCAAAACACTATTCTCTGGATTTCAGCGCTACGGATCAACTTGAATCTTGCGTTTTGACGATCCGGAATCGTGCCAGAACGTCATTTTTGGGATTTCAAAACCGCGAATCAACATAACTTCTGCACCCGCGTAATCCAAAACACCATTTCTGGTACCTTGACCATGGGTACCAGTGGAACTTTTTGCAAATTTCTAGCACGAATTTGCGCGGCGCCGGGGCGAGAACCACATGTTGAAAAGGAGCCGCCCTCAATCCTTGAAAATCTTGCAACATTCTAAAACGAATGTGCTCGGCGCTAGAGCAAGACCCACATTTTGAAAACCACCCGAACTCAATCTGTGAAGCTCTTGCACATGTTTAAAACAATGTGCGCGGCGCTAAAGAGCCACATTTTGAGAACCACCCGCCTCCATCTGTGAAGCTGTTGTCACTGTTTAAGCTTCAGGGTCATAAATGGTGAGGAAGTCTCCGGCGAACCGCTCGACCCGCCCTAAAAACTGGCCTCGGGGTGCGACAGGGAGAAGTTCTCTATAAAGAAAAAGAATGCCGTGTGGGCTCAAAGCTCTTTAGTTCAGTCCGTGTTGCTCTTCCGTGTGCTGTACTTCAGCCCCATCTGTTTCTGGAACTATACAGTCTCCAGATGTTGTCTCGCAGCTCGCTCACTTCTCGCGGCGGGCTCTTGCGATTTCCTCTTGCGCAGATGGTCAGCACCTCACGACTGTGCGCCAAGGCGTGATGATGGTGAGGCAGAGAAAGCCATTGAGTAAGAAACTCTTTAAGCAGCTCACCAACTTACACGTGCGCATACGGTTGTCAGGCACTTGGCGACGCAGTACATCGACGAAGTGTTCAGCACCTCGGTTCCGAACGACCAGATGAGGACCGCAGCCACCGAGAACACGGACAAAGGAGGCCCGACGGATCCTCAGTGGAATCCAGCGTGTCGCCTCGCTAGGGGCGTTCAGGGCTCGCCGTGCAGAGCGGACGCAGCTTCAGAGCGCGCAGAGAACGACCCCGCTGGAGCAGGGTGTGCTCGCAGCGCCGTACTTCATTGGCAAGGGCAAAGGCACATTGAAGATAATCGCCGCAGGAAAAACGCCGCAAGTGGCCAGGCTGCAACCTTGCGAGGAAGCGCTGCGTTTCGCCAGGAGCACTTGCCAACGACAACCGCAACGCAGACACGACCGAAAAAAAAGCAAACTCAAAGAAACGTCCAGAACTTCCGCTTGCGGTGGTTTCTTGTGCGGTCACCCATGGCCTTGAAGATTTCGGGGCCAGCTGCGCCGAAGCTTCGAGCCCTGCTTCGGCGGCACTGGACCGGTCGGTCTGGGCTTCTCGTGCGGAGCATCGTGATGTGGCCGACGGTGACGGCTGCATGCCCAGCACCAGGTCCGAGGAGTACCCGGCGAGGAGGCCGAGTTCCAGCATCGGGCCGGGCGAAAGGGGGGGATAGCAAAGGGGGGTTTGAGAAACAACTCACGTAGCTGATTGTCCCGGCGCCTCCCGGCGCCGGGAGGCGACCATGTATCGAGGAATGGGCCCCTCAGTGGGGCCGAAACCAGCTGCATGCAGCAAATTTCGGAACCCCCCTTTTCCCAATCCCCCCCTTTCGCCCGGCCCGACAGCAGGAGGGCCCCATCGAGCCGATCGACTTCCAGAGCTTCAGCTCCAACCTCACTGCCTTCGTCTGCGAGGCTGCGCTCGAGACGCCTGACAGGGCGCAGGCGGTGCACCAAGGCTCTGGAATTCATGCAGCGCTTCCCTCGGTTGGGCAGCCAGGATGCCCGTGCAGTGCTGAGCGATGTGCGTGATAAGGTTGTGCAAGTTGAGGGCCTGTGGGAGTCAGTCAGAGGCACGAGTTTGCCTCGGGTTCGGAAGCCCAACCCCTGGTCTCCACCCATGGGGAGAGGGGAGGGCGGGTGGGGAAATCGAGGGATGAAACCTCGACTCGGACTACAGCTGTGCGCGAGCTTGCGCGAGTGGCCGACGCAGGGTCGGAAGCTGCGTGCTCGAGGCCCCAAGCAGACCCCGCACGAGCCAATCGAGCTTCGAGTTCCAATAGAGGCACGAGTTTGTGGTGGCACTCCCCGCTCGCCCCCTCTCACTTCAGCGTGCGCTAGGCTTGGCCAGGCAACAGCAGCAGCTACTGGTGGGGGCAGGGTGGAAGCTCAAGGGGGGTATAAGGAGAGGCCTCGAGCTGCCATGAGGAGGGGATTAGGTGTACGCCGGGCGTGTCCCCCCCACAGGGGGATCTTCGACGAAAAATAAGCAATACACCAAAAATACACCAAAAAGGTCAAAACATACCCCAAACATAATCCCCAGACTATTTTTGGACCAGTTTTGGGGTATGATTTATTTTTCGTCGAAAATCCCCCTAAAGGGGGACAGGCCCGACTTAAGATTAGGTGCCTCCTTTGCGCGACCTCTCAGCACGGGCAGCCATCAGCCCCACCCCCCTAAACAGCGAAGCGGTAGGGCAAGTTTCGAGTATCAGGTGTGTGCTGTGTGTTTGTGGCGTGCGTACAAGATGACTTTCTCCAGCTGTTGAGGGTCTCTGGAGCACCTCGAGCGCGCCTCCTCCTCTTGCCCTTCAGCAGAATGCAGAAGCAGGCTTGTTTCCGTCGTAGCTTGCAGTGTTCTCGATGGGAGGGTTGAAGGGGGGGAGGGAGGTGGAGGATTGCTTCGGCACCCCACTGGCAGCGTGGCTGGTGGAGAGACCAGCGCACGCGGCAGCCCATGGCTGGAGTGGCGGGAGAGCCGCGGGCAAGCCTTTCTAGGGACCTCGGAAGCATAATTCTCCTCCTTCCTTCTCTCCCTTCTCTCGGCCCTCCTTCTTCTCTATGGTGCTTCCCTAGTTTTCCCTCTCCATTCGTTGTGTCCTTTCCTGCCCCTAGAGTGGGCTTGGGACTCATGAGTGCAACAGTGCAACAGCGGAGGAGGAGGGGGAGGAGGAGGAGAAGGAGGGGGACCAATAAACCCACGAGTCATCAACGATGTTGCAATCAACCCTCCTACCAAGCTCCCTTTTCATAGGCCTCTACAACGGTTAATTTCCACTGAAGGGAATGCCTCGTTGGAAGACAACTGTTTGAAGATCCTGCAGCACGCCAAAACACTGTTCTTGGGATTCCAGCGCTACGGATCAACTTGACTCTTGCGTGTTGACCCTGAACCGTGCCAAAACGCCATCACTGGGGCTACAATACTGCGAATGACCGTAACTGTTGCACCCTCAAAATCCTGCACCCTTCCAACATGCCAATTCATGCCAACCCTTCCGTGCAACTCTTGCAAAAAAAAACGAATGCGCGCGGCGCTAAGGCGAGAACAACATTTTGAAAAAAAAACACCCTCAATCCGCAAAACTCTTGCAAATATTGAAAACGAATGTACTACCCGACGCTAAGGCGAGAACCACATGTTGCAAACGATTCGCCCCCAATCCGTGAAACTGTTGCAGTTTGTTTGAACGAATGTGCGCGGCGCTAAGGCGACAGTTACATTTTGAAGACGGCCCGCCCTCAATGTGTGAAGCTGTTGACACTTTTAAGCTGAGGGTCATAAATAGTGAGGAAGTCTCAAGCGAACATGCCCGGCCCGCCCAGAAAAATCTGGCCTCGGGGTGCGACAGGGAGAAATTATTCACAAGGAAATGAATGGAGGAGGAGGAGGAGGAGGAGGAGGAGGAGGAGGAGAACCTGTCAACGGTCCGCGCGGAATTCCTGGATCTGCGCTGGACCCACCTCTCTGGCGCGCGGAGCGCGCCAAGGGCGGCGCCAGAGGCGCAGCGAGGGGGGGCCCAGCACAGATCCAAGAAATCCACGTCGACGGTGGAACATGCATCTTTCTTCGCTGCGTAGGATCGTTATCTAGAGGCCTCCCAGACAGGGTCGGAGTAGACGAGGTCGGCGGATCGCGCCGCATTGCCGATGCATCACCAATGCATCGGCGACGCACTGGCGGCGTCGCCGATGCATCGTCGACGTCGGCGTGAAGGAAATCGGGCTCCAGACCGACCTGCACCGCTTATGCATCGGCGATGTCTCGCGCTCGCCCGACCCCACCCATTCGGACCCCATCTGTCGGGCGGGTGGTGAGGGGGGTGACGATCAATAGGGGGAAGAAAAAGGGCCCATGAGGGACCCTTTCGGGCCCCCGCTGGCTCCAGACGAGGCCCAGAAGTGCCCCTCGAGGGTCCTTTTCTCCACCCCCTATTCGGGTAGGCCGCCCCCCCATTACCACCCGCCCGAATCCGGGAGGCCCGGACTAGTGTCAATCACCAGGGGGGGGTGCCGGAACGCCCGCTGCGCGCCAGAGCACACGAGCAACAAAAAAGACGATCTCCTTGGTGGGGGGCAGGCGGGTCCCGAAGGAAGCGGGCACCGGACCTTCTGTTGTTTTTTTTGGGGGGGGGCGAGCGCCCCCTCCTCCTCCTTCTCCTC